ATCAGAAAGCATATTTAATAACAGTGTATCTTCAGTTATCTCTTAGAATATAAATTCCAACCATGCTTAGAAATATTCTGGGTCCTTTGATGGCTTTTTATTTCAGATACCATCTTTTTGTCACATCTCACACCTTTTTTTTTTTTTTAAAAAAGGTACTTTTAATTCTGTTTATTTCTGCACTATAAAATTCACCCTTCAGCTAATCACTGCTGAAACTTCTGAAAGTAGCTCATATTCCAGATAATGTTAAGTATTTAATGGGGAATTTAAAAGGAGGAAGTTCTTGTTATTCCTGTGGGGTCAGGATTTCAGTCGGCTTCCTCTACAGGAGGCCTTTTGAAGGAATGGTCAGGAGGTACCATGTAGCATGGCTATGGGGGTGCGACCGGATGCAGGGGCTGGGTTGGGAAGCTTTGTAGTGGACTTCAGAAAACCAGGCTTATGCTAGGATAACAGTGAGAACGAGATGTTCACAAGAAAAACCTGGCCATGAGCTATATATTCAACTCACTGACTTCATCCAAGCCAGATGTTCTCCAGCATGAACTGTATCAGTGGACTATTTGGTCGTTTAACTCATTTAACATTGTACAAATTCAAAATGCAAACAGTTATCACTTTGGGGGGAAGTAATGGCCATCAGTATTTTTCCAAACAATCTTGATGTAAGAAAAGCAGAGTTCCCTAAAGGAAATGGTAAGAGCTGTCTTTGATCTGTTTTCTCTGTCATTTAGGTAGCACAGCTCAGCACAATCTGATCATGCCTTGAGCTGCAGGAATCTGAGGCCATCAGATTTTCCTGCCTGTTGGATCTGTTGTGAGCCCAGAGCTCACCCTTTATCCCTATGCAATTGTTGAAAAGTAAACTACAGCAATAAAGTTAATTCTTCCTTTCACATTACCCCAACATTACCAACATCACTGTTAGAGTACTGGGTCTCTTGAGATGTGTTCTGGAACTGTATTGCAAAGAGGAGTTAAAGGCCTGCCTGCACTGAAGAGTAATGAAAATGTAAATTTCAATAATCTTACAAGTGAACTAGGTGTATTTCACCAGGGCCAGACTAATTTAACACTACATTTCCATTGCTGGGTGCTCTTAAGTGAAAACAGACCCGTGCAACAGGCAAGAAGGCAGAAGTGAATCTCTAAGTACACAGGGTACACCGTACACCGAGGCGCTGGCCAGTGAAAAGACTAGAGCAGGGATCCTGAAAGGTACCTGATGACATCCACGAGAAGAGAGAAGTCTTTACATGCTGCAAGTATTAATATAAATATCATGTCGTTTAGGAATGCTTACAGCAATATATCAGGTTGGTTTGAGGTAACTGGCAGGAAATGGTCTAAGATATTCAACTTCAGATGGAGTTGGGAATTATGTACACACTATTCTTGCCTGACTCTACCAATTCAACAAGTCACCATAAATTCCAAAGCTGTGACCTCTAACTGTTGCTCAGCAACTTTCTCCTGCCCTAGTCCTTAAAAAGCCACATAATCCTCTCACTTCCTCCATTTTTTGAAAGCCTTGCTTTAAAAAGCACATCGAAGTTTCACTCTATAAATATTTTGAGACCCTTCATTGTGCTGTAGATGTGGAGGCAGGCAACCACAAAGGGCTCTGTGCCTGCCCTTTGGGAATTTCCAGGGTAGGTGTCAAAATGGTTCCATGAATCAATAAGGCAGATGATGGATCTACGAGAAATTGTGTAAAACCCAACCAATGGGAAAGATGGGCGTGGAATAGGAGACCGAAGGAACAACACTTGAACCCCTAGCAGTTCCAAAGGGTCCCTTCCCTCTCTGGTCCCATGATGCATGGTCCATTTTGTCTGTTAGCACTGACAGTTCTGTGACATAACCTTTACTTGTAGATCATCTCTACAGCTCACTGGGGACTCTTCAAAGTCAGACACCATGTCTTGTTCATTTTTTCCCTGCAGTAGCTGGCAAATTATTTGTTCATTAAATAAATGGACAAACTACATTTTGTTATTGAAGTAGAAAGAAAGCTACCATTTTCATGGACAGGGGAGACACTGGCTCTGTGTCCCTGTACCTGTAAGAGCCATCTCTGACAATACCTGCTGGAGAAGGTTTTAATGGGCACAGGTGGAGAAATTTTCTGGGGGAGTAGCACTCAGAAGAGAGCTTACATTTCAAATTTTTGTCATTTATCTGAAATTCAATTGTAACCTGGAATCTTGTATTTCTGTTCACTAATCAGGCAGCCCTACCATAACGGGACAACCAGGACAGAAATAAGAGTGGACAAGCCTGGAGCAGGGGAAAGTGAAAGTTAAATCCCACAAGTCTTTACCAATCAGCAATTCTACTCCAAAACATTATTATGGTTTGGTAGTCAGGAAGCCTCTCGAAAGGTAAGAATGGATTTAGTGAGGAAGATTATGAGACGATCCCACATGTTGGGTTTTTCTCCTTCCCAAGGCTGTCACAATTGTGTCAAGTGTTGCCCGAAGGTATAAATATACTACATGCAGTTTGATAGGTCTGACCCTGTCTCCCCCACACCAATTCTATCTTCCAGATACTTGGGGGCAGGAAAACACTTTCTTTTTCTTTCTTGTGAGGAACAAAGCACTGAATGAATAATTTACATGGTGGGTGATGGGCATCCTTAGGGGACATTTGTCGAAAAATTCCTACTTGGCACATATGACACAGGAGTTTGTTTTGCTTATATAACAAGATATTTGTACATAAGAAACTGTGGGTGTGTGTTTAGCCACATAGCAATGTCAAGACCACACACCTGAAATGCTCAGTTACTCCTTCATGGTTAGGAGAACACTGCTACAACATTAGCCACCAAGTTCCTTTTCAAGGAAAGCAAGCAGAGGGCAGGGCCATTCAACGACTTCTCATCCTATTCCTCTTTCCTCAAGGAAACTTCCTGATGCTTGTTCACTGCCGGAGGCTTTTGACTGTGGCTCATAAGAGACTTCTCCAACGGGCATATCTTTTAGGTGGCCAGAACACACTTTAAAGGAACCCCAGCCTGGCCTCAAAAGGAGCAGCTTCCGAAAGCCCTAAAACAACTCAAGCTCTGAGATTTAGCACACCTGGTTCAAGTGCTGCTGTGTCCCTCAGTGAACAAGGCATTTAGCTTTGTGAACACTCATTTCCTAATTTGCAAGGTGGGAAGAGTAATAGTGACATCTGTGTATGTGTATTTGTGTGTGTGTATGTGTGTGTGTGTGTATGTGAGAGAGAGACAGAGATATGTGACATGCTGTGACTCGAATATAGTTTGTCCTCACTGAAGACTGCTGTGAAAGCTTAATCTCCACTGTTAGGTATGAAGAGGACATAGACTTAATCCAACTATGGTATTTCAAAGTGGCCCTCGAAGATGATTGGGATTAGGTAAGCACATCACATTAGAGCCCCAGACTGAATTCAGCGGCTTCATAAGAAGAAAGGGACAGGGATCAGACACGTTTGCTCCCTGTCTTATGCCATGTGCCACCTCGGAAACCTGCTGTCACCAGATGCAACCTGTCAACCTTGTATCTTCAGACCTGTCAGCCAAAATAAGTCACATTTCTTTATAGCTCCCTCGGTTTGTGGTACTGTGTTATTGCCAACACTGAGAAGATATGAGATGAAAAATACAGATTATTTGGAGACACCATACATGGGTTATTTTTCCCCATTTAGATAAAATGTAGATTCTTTCTGGCGCATGTTTTCAAAAACTAAGCTTCAAATCATGTACCTGTCAACTCTACAGTTTAAATGCTATTCAACAGAATCATTATAGAATGATAGTCACAGTAAGTTTTGGTTGCTGGATTAACTCTGCTTCTTGAGCTACATAGCCAGGTCATTAGCAGAAATAAAAAACAACTACAAAAATACTTTTGTAAACACTGCCCTGTATTTTGAAATTGGCATTTCTTTCTTTTAATATGTAAAATTAACTTTTGACTCAAAAAATGTTTAGTTCTGGATGAAACAATTAAGTGCTATGTTTAAAATGCTAAGATATCTTTAAGATATATATATATATATATATATATATATATATATATATATACATTTTTGATACTGGGAATCCAACTCAGGACCTTGTAGTTGCCAGGCAGGAGCTCATGCTGCTGAGCTATATCCCTGACCTCCTTTAAGATATTGTTTATTTTAAAATTCCTGTTGAAAGGAGACTATGGAAGTCACAGATACAGGTGATGACATGATTTCAAGGGCCAAACAGTAGAAGAGTACAGAGTCACTGCAGTGATCATCTCTAAAATTGCCCCAGAAAGCCTTGAGCAAAAGACTGATGGAATTTACTTTACTTGACAGCTGGAGCCCCATGAACTCTTCATAAGGATGAAAGAAAATCATATATGTTATTGCAATAGTTAGATATTAAGAGTCTAAATATTGGCTAGAGGAGTTAGGATGAGCTATTAGAAATACACAGCTGTTTAAAATTTACCAGAATGAACACACATGCCAGAACTTGAGAAAACAAGAGAAGCAATAGTGTTAGAATTCTTCATTGTTTGTAAAAGCATCTGTATACACACCAGCTTAATACCCATGATGCAAATAGCAATGACTCGCCCAAGGAAATATTGAAACCCATTAGGATGGCATGTGCATAGTCTGATTCAACAAGTCAGTGTACTTTTCTCAAAAACATAATATCTTTTCTGCATTGTGTGAGATGAAGGTTAGATTACATTTCTTGCCTGTGCAATAATTCCCACATCATAAATTCTGGTGAAATTATATCAATATATACAGCAAATGGATGTCTGACCCACCATCGTTTTCTGGTTCTCAGAAAGAGAGAAGCTGACACATAGGCAAATCCCCAGCTGCTTGGAGCAATGCTATAACAGCCTGCCTTTGCCTGGGAACTGTGATTAACTATCTTGACCAGCAGCGGCTGCTGGAGTTTGTGGTTTCTGCTCTGAATATTAAACTTGGGCATACAAGAGTCCTTATTGTGGGGAGCACTTGGAAATGGTAATACAAAATTGCTTTATTTTTGTGGGATTTGATTGCTTTAGATGATACAGCCCTTGCTGGTGGGCCTCTCTCACTGCTTGTATTTCCAGATTATAAATCATTCCTTTGACAGGGTATCTGCCACAACCAGGTCTCAGTTTCTGTGGTATCATTTTTTATATTACAACTGGCAACTGTTCTTCTGGGCTGTTCCTATAAATGACACATTTTGCATAATTTATGAGAATGAGGTCAAAATCAAAGCTAATAAAGGCCTCCCCAACTTTTCTTGTACGTGTCAAGGCATTTCAGGCATTCAGCTTTTAGGGTACTGGGTCATACAGAGAAATGCCAGACTTTTCTATGGCAAGGATAAGGCATTGTGTCCACAAAAACTGAAATTCAAAATTGTGAAAGCCAACATGAGGCAAAGTTCCAGTCACAGTGAACCAATCAATGACAAATATTCAACCTCCAAGAACAAAACAATTTCCTTTAAATTTATGTCCAGAGACAGAAGCGTTTGCTGCACTCAGCCATAGAGAGGGCGGCCAGAAGCGAAAGCCTCATTTCCCTCCCTTGAACATCACGGTGTTGAGTGAGACGGTCAGCAGGTTTCCTTCCTGTTCTGATATTTTGGCAACTCCAGAGTCCACTGGTGGAATGAAGGGACAGTGAATTCAGACGATGGCTGTGAACACAGGCTGCTGCCTCACTGCAAGCCTCCAGTTTCAATTCAGACCTGGGATTTTTGAATCTGAACTCACGTTCATTTCTGGAGCCCACACATCAGCTATGCAGCAGAACTCCTTCCCGACATTACACATTTGAAGTCTGGCTGAGTCTGAGATGTTCTGGTTTCCATCTAAGGAGATGCTCATTTGGAAGATCAGGCCCCATGAGCACAAGGAGATCCAAGCAATAACATGTAAGTCCTCTGAATTATGCTTCTTTGAATCCATGAGTGAAGGAATCAATAGTTTAAAAGACTGTTTTGAAAGAATGTTGGCCTGGAATCACGAAATTCTCAATCGCTCTCCACCCAGAAGCCTGGCTTATTCTTGGGCCCCTCAGCTATTCCTCTGTGACCAGTGTTTCTCTGGCATCCCAGTAGTTTTACACAAAGCAAGAACTGTGAGTTGCCAAAGGCTTAAAATAACCTGGAAGTCATTTCCAGATTAACAAAGTTAGCATCTCTTGAGAGATTAGTTTCCTCTCCCCACCCACATAGTCTTCACCATCCAAAAGAGAATGTATGTGTTAAATATGACCAAAATGTAATCGCAGTGCACCTACAGAAATCTGCTGCAATACTGCTATTAGAAATCCAAAGAAATTGTACTTGGGCCAAGCTGGCTTATGAAAGCAGCTTCTATCTCCTGGTTTTGTCTTTACACTTCATAGCTGTGTGGGTAAGTATGTCTTTCCAAAGCCCAGAACATGAAGTTAACTGCACCTAAGAATTTTTATCAGTAATTATTGAATGCTGAAAGTAATTTGCATAGGAAGTGGTGATTAGCTTAATCATTAGATTTTAGGAGTGCAGAGGCTTTGTAGACAATTGCTTCATTTCACAGATGGTAAACTGAGACCCAAAAAACTAAAATGGGACTAAACCTCAGGGCCTCTTGACTCACATACAATGATTTTTCAAGCTTTCTTGACCATGAATCACTATAAGCAATACATTTCGCACCATAATCCAGTGACTAATACAGACATCTAGAACACCGTCTCAGGAAGGAATTCTCATCTTTACTGTACATGATACACCACGATTCTCTCTCCTCTCTTCTATTTCACTTATTTTGTCCACATTTGTTCCACTTACACAAGGTTATCACCGCCAGTTAAAAGCACTGATATAAATTACATTTGCTCAAAAATCAGCTTATTAGATTTCCTTGAATAAAGATTTTCTGACAGTAAACCCCCAATTTACTACCCTGTTGGGGAGGCGGGGTGGCATGGGGTGATACCCAAATCCAAGCCCAGGATTCTTCTGACCTCCCATGTTTTACAAAAAACAAAATTGACACCATCTATCAGAAGTTAACAGGTTCCCTTAATATTAAGTGACTATAAATATTTAAAGGACTAGGGGTGGGGCTGAAGGTGGGGGGCGGCAAATAGCACGGAGCAGAAGCAGTAACTCTCCTAAATGGTGAGTCTTTCAGACAGCAGGAGCCTGCTACTCTGCAGGGATCTTTGCAAGGTCTCTTGACCTCATTTTAAGGCTCTTTGATTTGCAATCAATGACTTTTGTTAATAGCTGCTCTGTAAAATAGTGTGGTATTTTGACTTACTTGGCTGGCTGCAGTGAACACCCAAATTTATTATTAGTCCAGTTCTACTAGCTGGGGAAAAGGTGACTTTCACTAAGCTAAGCCAGGCCAGCCAACCTATTATAGATCAAGGAGGAGAAATGTCTTCCAGAATTCTTTTGGGGTATTGCTTAAGTGTTCTCTTACAAGACCTTCAGATATCTAAGCCTCCAGCCTCTCCACTAGCAAAGCACATGGGATCCTAGTTTCAAAAGATTCATCACTTAACGCGTGGCAAGTTTTGTTTTCTTGCCAGGGTGAAGAACAGAGCCAACAAATGTGAGCAGAAGTAAAAGACTCCAGGTCCCCCAGATGCCAGGAACAGGAAGCAGGGAAGCACATCTCAGTAGACAGACACTCACACGGACCAGCTCCTGGCCGTAATGATTTGCATGCTTCCCATCTGAAGTGGTGGCTGGGCAGCCACGGAACCACAGTAAGGAGAAATTCCCTTTGGGACAAGGTGTGACCTACATCCCACCAACTTACAAGATGCTTGATTCCAGCCCTGGGGTTGATCCTTGCAGACTGGGGATAGATAGAAGGGCTCAGCTTCGTTTCTGTAAATTCCCATGCTCCGTCCTACAGCCATTCTGAGCCAGTCAAACCTCGTTTCTCTTCAGGGATGGTTCCTGGCAAAAGCCCCATCCTGGGACGCCAGCACTGACAGAGGTTAATAGGTACCATTTAGCTACCCTCGGCAGCATTGGTTTGATCTTCTTGGCTCTCGTGTGCTTCCTCTTCTTGGCACAAGAAAATTCAGCTTTTGCCCTTTATCCTGTTATCCAAGAGCCTGAACGCCCATGACAGTCATGGGGGCAGACGCTGCCCCTCCCGAGTCCTTGGCAGAGTGGGAGATTGAGACCAACACAGGCAATGTGCCTTGAGCTCTTCACTTTGCCCTCAACAGCCAGCTGGCCTGTTGCTGAAACCAAGACCAATTGGAAAAAGGCACACATGCGGATGGAACCATTGTGCCTTATTTCCCCCTCTCCACAGAAAGCAGAGGAGTAGCGAGGGGCTAAAAGCAAAGAAAGCTTATTAAATCTGCCCTGAATCCAAAAAACTCTTGACTGTCCTATGTTCTAAGTTCTTAGGGGTGCGGCAGCCCACACAGCTACAGATGACTACAACATTGGGGGAAAAAAAATTTCCCGGTCAATTTGATGTGTGTCCATTATCTCCAAAGGGCCACACTTCTGGAGCACCCCTGCTGCTAGGGTCCACTTGCAAGGCTCTAGATCCTCAGCTTGAGAGCCCACAGCAGAGAGTGGGGACAAGAGAGGCTCATAGCACATAGCCCTATTATTCTTGAAAGTGCTTCGAGTGGCCCAGGAAGCCCAGCCCTGCATGAGCCCAGTCTACTAGAATGTGGGAGACCACTGAGCACAAGTACTTCCCCCAGGCACAGAAACTAAGTGCTGTTAGAATAAGCACCAGATGAGGTAGTTGCTTGACTCAGGACTCCAAAATATGTATCCTTTAACCCAAGACTCATAGTAGATGACGCAGAAGTACAAAACCATGCCTGGGACCTGCGGAGGATGCCACGCCCCTCGGCAGACGTCTGTGTGTAGTGGCACACATTACTCTTTCATGGGAACACCTCTGCCAGTTCCTCTCTTCTGCTTCTTCTCTCTAAACATTCAAATTTGCTTCTGTTAAATGGGAATGAGAGGAAGCTCCACTGTGCAAGGATTCTAGAATCTTCCTTCCCGAACTTCACTGGGAAGACAGCTGAAATTTCTGTTTAGAATTTCTACTTGTTACTCCTACCATGAAGATTCCAGAATGAATAATTTCCATTTCTATCTGCATGAATTTCCAAAAGCTCCAGCAAGTTTAGATGACGCTATTCTGAAATTAAACCTTGCTCACCAAGTACAGAGGGAAGAACGGAGAGCTAAGGGGGCTCCACAGTGCAGATCGGAGCCTCAGTTTAACCAGCTCTGAAAAGGGCACAGTAACACCTCGCTCTAGGGAAAGGGTGGAATCAGGTTAATTAATTGGCTTTCTCAGAGCAGAAAATGTGTCATCCTCTTCAAAACCTTAAGATGAAAGGTGCGAAATGGTGTCATTATTTGAGAAATTGCTACATCAAACATGGGACGCCTATAAACCAGTAGCACATAATTATCATAAAAATAGCACACTGTTAAAAGTTCTAGGGGAGCTGGGCATATCAGACTGTGAGGGAGTAAGAGGTAGGCAAAGGGCCTTTAATCCTCCCTCTCGTTCTCAGGACCTGGCCACCAGCCCTCTCTGAGGTGGCCACAGCAGCTCCCTGCTTCTGGCCACCACCCGCCATCCACTGTCCACAGGGCAGCCTGAGTGGACACAGCTCCCCAGGCTCACAACTCTCCAGTCACCGTCTACCTCACTTGAGTTAGAAGCCCAAGTCCTTAGAGTGGCCCAGGACTCCTATTACCTGAGACTTATCTGACCATTACTGTTGCACCTCAGCCTTACTCCTGTGACTGGCCGCTCAGCCAGCCCCCCTGACCTTGCTGGGACTCTCTCCACATGTCACGATGCTGCCACGCCCTGCCTGGGCCTTGCTCTGCCTTGCTGGGTGCTTCCCAGATACGCGCCCAGGCTGCGCCATCCCCACCTCTGGGATTTGCTCAGCTATCATCTTTATGGTGACCCAGTGACACTGGCAATGTGCTTAAACACCACAACCCTCACCCCACACATATTCTGCCTTCCCCTTCCCTAATTCCTTGTTCTCCATAACTCGGGTCCATCTGACCATCCCTTCCGGTTCTGTTTTCCCACAGGAACAATCTGAGTTCTGTGAAGACCAGCAGTTTGCTCAGGACAATGTCTGCCCCAAGGAGGTGTTTAAGATTAGTCGGCTGAATTACAAGTTGTTCCATTTCTAAAGGCTTTTTGCACTTTTCCTCAGATTATCCTTGTCAGGCTCTCTTCTCATTTCTGTAGCTGCCCTTCAGACTATTTTTAAATACTTACATCTGCCTTCCAGGAAGGTTTCTGACAGAGGCAGAGAAGCCCAAAAGATACCACTGACCAAATCCTTAGCTGATTTGACTGAGAAATAAGGAGCTGGCCCTTCCTTGTTCTCCCCACCAGCTGTAAAGGGGGCAGGACCTGACTGGTGGCGGTCTTGCCCATTCCCCCATCCGGGCACTGCTGCCTACTGTCTCACTAAGGAGCAACCTAAACCTCCTGTGTAATGGCAGAGGTCCCACTGTTGATATCCCTGAAGTCCCTGCAGTCAATGGGCCATGAACGACAGACACTACAGCCCCTCCTAGAGACCGCACAAAAGCCGCACCAGCCTGACTTTTAGTGCTGGTATATTTGCAGAAGCCCACAGACTTTTAGTCAAATAGCCACTTCCACAGAGCTTTCTCGGTAGCAGCTGAAGCTATCCTAGGCCCCTACTGCCTTTCTGGGAGATGCTGGCCTTGGCCACAACAGGCTTCAAACACAGGCCTCTCCCTGGCCCCGCGCTGTGTCCACTCCTGATAAGCCTACTGTGTAGCTTCCAGATGAGCCCGTGCCCTTCTGACCCTACACTGAAAGAGCGTGGAAAGTTCTGGCAAATACAGGAGACTGTGCATGTGCACCCCACTGCATAGCAGTGCTCCTTCATACTCCATGGGTCAGTCAAGGGGAGTTCCCTCTAGCAGATGGCCAAAATCTGTACTGCAGCATGGGTGATGTTACTCCCTACTCTGATTCTCATTTCTGGTACAGTGGGCTAAGTGGGCTCAACAAATGGCACCAATAACACAAGGGTTATTAGGCCTGAAGAGTTCTGGAGACCTACAATGGAATAGACTGAAATCCAAGGCCCCCAGGAAACATGAGGCCGGAGCCCCAAGCCCAAGACTGGCAGCAAAGGAGGAGCAGACAGAGAGGGTCAAGGCCAAAAGTTGGCCTAGGCTTGGCAGCAAACATTGCTGGGAGGACTCCAGAAGGCTGCCAAGAGGGTTACAAGCTTCAGCTGCTAAGGAGCTGATAGTAGAAACCAGTGAAGGCTGCAACACTGAGAGCTAAGAGGCTCTGGCACTGGAGACTCAGAACTACAGCGTCAAGAGCTGGAAGCCACTGACACACAAAACCCAGAGCCACTAACCTCAAGGCAAAGAACCCCCCCCCCCCCGCTGACTGATGATATTAGAAAGGGGTCTGCCCATGTCTTCCAGTCTGCTCCACTCCATTTCTTTGCAGTAATTCTAGGAATTTCTCTGGAAAATAAATGAGTGAATGGAAGAGTGGCTGGACTCTGACTTCCTCCCACTATGTGTGGGACCCTCTGAGACCCTTAATGAAGATGCACTGGTGCAGAGACTCAGATTTGTAAGTGCCTTATTAAAGGACACGCACACCCACACCATCGTAAGTAGAAGAAAATCATTCCAGCAAGTGAAAGCAATACACTGAGTTTTATTGGAAGGACAGGAGAGTGTCTCAGAGGGCTTTAAGAAAGGAGGGACTCGTGAATGATTGAAGTCATGAACCAGAAAGCCACCGTGAACAATGTGCACTCTCTGTCCCGTGACCTCCCTTCACAGCGGGCCTTTTCAGACCTGCTCCCTGCACCTCCGTCAGACTCCACTTAGCGTTTGCTGTCTCTGTGCACATGGTCAGCCACCGATGCCCCGCTGACTCAGTGGTCCCATTCAGCACTGCGCAAGCCCCAGCAGCAGCCCAGAGTCCTTATTCCTAATTCTAGGGACAGAACTTCTGGTCAACTGGCTTGGCGCAAATCTCTCCACCAATGTGATTTTTGACTGGGATAAGGATGAAGTCTCTTGCAGGTCTGCAATTCCTTATCTGAAATGTTTGGATCAAAACGTGTTTCATTTTTTGTAGCTTTTCCTGTTTTACAGTGGTAATGTGTTTCATATACTGTATATTATGGAACATCACCACTGGATCTGGAATCACATGATAAAAGGAAAGGCATGATCATTTCTGTAGCAAAAAATGTATGAGTATTCATAATAAATGAGACAAATAAAAATTATAAACAGCTTCAGCTCATGCCGGGTCACACTTTGCCATCATATGAATTCAGATTAGGTTTGAGTGAGTTAGAAAATCTTTTGGTCATTGAGAATGAACAAGGTGGGTGTCATTTATCATCCATTCTTTGCTTCTGAGAGTAAAAGGGCTGCTGGGAAGAATTACACTTGGAGAGGAGCCTGAGAGCGTGCAGTGTAGTTTTAAATTCTCCTAATTTCCCTTACATAAATGGCCAAGTAACCAGGCAGCAAGATCTAAACCCACAAATGACCTCTACCAAGCTAAGTGGCAGGGGTTCCCACAGACTCCAAAAAGCAGTTAAATCTTACAGAGCTACAAGATCTGTGGGGTTTCTGCATAGAAGGAGGCTATGGGGCTTAAATGGAGTTAAAAACAGGGTGGTCCTAACGTAGGTACACACCGGAAATGCAGTCGGTCAGTTTGAAAGCAGCAACTAAGGGTGAAAGAGATTCGCACTTCCAGTTCTCAGGAGAGGGTCAGAGCAGGTGGAGAGCACCTGAAAGATGCAGGAGTCTGGGCCCTAAAACTCCCAGGACAAACAAAGCAAAATTTCCATGCTGAAGAAGTCCCTGCAGGAAGGAGAAATGTTGGGAGTGTAATTCAGAAGAGGAAGGGCTAGCAAAGAAAACATCAGGTAGAAGCACAAACCTGATTCATACTTTGGGAAAACAGAAGGGGGAGCTCTAGAGTCATTAAAGAGGAAAACAAAATAGCAAGCAAACAAACAAACAAAAAATGTTTTACCCCTCCCCATTCCCCATCCCATCTAAAAGTTAAAAAAACTACTTTGAGAGACTAACAACCCACACAACAGGATTTCAGCTGAATTCTGTATGAGTTAATATTTCTAAAAGGAGAGTAAGCAGCGAATCACAAAAACGTCCCCACAAAAGTGAAAAGAAATGCAATTAATATTCCAGAATGAGCTGAAAGAAGTTTTTAAAATGACATAGAAATACAAAAAATCATGGGTAAACTTTTTTAAATTTAGAAATGAGGTTATAGATGTTGGGAATAATTTAGAAATAAAATAATAAATCACTTGATGAATGAAGAACAAAGTATAAGAAACTCATCAGAGAATAAATACAACACTTAATGCCCTGCTCGAATAGAGGCTAAGAGACAAAAACTTTAATTAAAAGAAATAAAGAGATAAAATCATTCAAAAGAAAATGGCACTGAAGGTGAGGCCCAACTCCCAAAAATCTAACATCTGTATAAGAGGAGTCTTCATGGGCACCCTCAAAGACAGAAACCAAATCAGAGTGAAGAAAAAAACAAAGGAAGAAAGGAAAGGAGGGAAGGACAGAAGTTCACTCAGAAAGACCAACACTGAAATACAGTCTAATAATTTACTGGATTTAAGTAAAAAGTCCTATGGGGTTCCAGACAAAAACTAAGTCACTTAGAAAAAACATAGATTACCATTAGATTGTTGAATAATAAAGCTTTATGCCAAAAAGTAACTATCTTTAAGATTTAAAAAACATTTTATGTTATATGACCAATTAAATTTATATTAAAATATAAATACGGAATATAAACTCTTATGATGACAGAAGAACTCAGTATCTTGTTCCTGTGGGCTCCTCCTGAAGAATCCATTAGATGAGAAGTTCCATCTGATCAAAATGGCAGCCGAAACACAGACACATGAAGACTGGTGATGGGGCTGTGAGGAACCGGAGTTACAAATGGAAGGTTTAAATTTTAAATAAAAATCTTGTGATTGTTGACCTTGAATTAAAAATACAGTATGAATAAAAGACAGGTTTTACTTTAAATTCTTCCTAGCACGTCCACAAAAAAGGCCTGGAAAGCATGACCAACTAGTTGGCATGAGCAATCTGAAAGCATTGTGTTTTCTAAATATTTCAGTAACTAGAAGAAAAAGAGGGTCTGATGGTACAAACGTGGGCTGCAGGAGACTTACAGGATGAGCCTGAACTGTCTCAGCGTATTAGAAGCACAGAAGTGGCCAAAGAGTGTGAGGGCCTTGTCAAGGAACTTAATAGCCAGGGACAAAGTTCCCAGCAGGAAACCCTGGGCTAACTTGAGCACAAACACACATAGAGACTGGGATTAATTAGAATACATCAAATACACTCAAATCCATGAATTATTGAAAGCTCAAAATAATAAACCGAACAAAAAAAGATAGAGAAGAACTCTAAAGATGAGAAGAAGTTTAAGAGATACCAATATGCATTACTAGAAACAAAAATCAAAAAGCTGGAGAAAAAATGCACTTATAACATTATAAGAAAAATGGAAATGTTAACATTTACTCAATATTTGTTTACACTAAGGAAATCTAATTCATTATTTTGGGTGTAAAAATGGTGTTGAAGACATATGTTTTTAGCCAGGTGTGGTGGCACATGAGTGCAATCCCAGCACTTGGGAGGCTGAGGCAGGATGAGGCCAGTCTGTGCTACATAGTGAGTTCAGTGGCAGCCTGAACTATACAGTGAGACCCTGTCTCAAAAAAAGAAGCAAAATACACACACACACACACACACACACACACACACACACATATATATGTGTGTGTGTGTTTTTTTAAAAAATGTTCCTGTCTTTTTAAAATTATGATACCTGGGATTTCTTTAAAAGTAGTATAAGGAAGGAAACACAAATTCGTGGTGTTCTATTACTCCATTCCATGTGCTTTTCTATATTTTAGAAATTTCTCAAAGTAACTATTTTTAATGTGCATTACGTTAATAGACGTTAGTTGACACTATCCCCGTCAAGGCTGGAGTCCGCTCTTTTGATGAAGGGTTGTCAAAATATAATCCAAGCATTGTTACGGGGTCCCAGAAAGGAAGGAGACACAGGTGAGTTACACACTACGACAGTGCCCGGAATGGCTATCGTCTGATCATTGAGCGTGGTGGTGTCATTAGATAATCTAGTTTTCTTTACCTGTCTCACTCATGTTTAGTTTGTATAACAATGATTTCTCATTGGAGAAGGTCTTCAGTGTTCTTTTCTTCTTTTTTAATCTAGCCCAGTTTCACCTAAAGAGCCTCTAGCAAACAGGCCACTAAGATTCAGCAGCTTTATTGTTGAAGGCATTCAATTATCATTTTTTAAGTCTAGCACCACATTCCTTTAATGATTTGGGACCTTGCACGGTTTTAAACATCTCCCAAAGCTTTCATTGTAAATTGCGCTAAACATCAAAGGAGGTGAAGGATGCCCAGATGCTGTTTACCGCCTGTGAAATACCCAGCACTAAATAGGACGGGTGGCCCTCGACAGATTCAGAATCAGAGCCAGGCATAAAGAAATAACCTGCATTTTGGATGCTAATCCAAAGCCTAGCATTGGGTATGAAAAACCGCATTAGAAAATCTTTTTAAAAATGGACCTTCTGCGATGGTTTCTTGGCATTTATTTCAAGTGCCACCAAGAAACACAGTGACAGTTCCAATTTACATGGGCAAAGAGGTTCCCTGGGGGTGCAGCTGGCCCAGGGTAGTGTCACTGAGTTTCAGTGGCATTTCTTAAACTGCAATCTTAAGCCAGAACCTTGAAAAGTCCTCCTAGCATTCCACACAGTCTTAAAACAAAAATCCAAGCAAATGGATTTCGATTTTGTGAGCCTTTTGCCTGCAATGTCCAGCTGGGGAGGATTTGTTCCTCCACCAATGGAGGCTCCTGAGGCTCCTATCACATTCTTCAATGGTGGGACATTTGTGTAAGTCTCAAGAGGGCTGATGTGAAGATATAGCCCACAGGGCATAGTTGTTAAAGGAAAAACAAAACAGTAACCGGTACTCACCCCTTACTATGAAGACAGCTTGTCTTTCTGGGTAGTTGGTTATTTTGCAGTGCAAAGAGTAAGTATTGGCCCGTCCAGTAGAGAATCCCTCATGGCTCCGTGCATGGCTGCAGAGAGAGCCTGGCCTGCTCCTGTGCTGAAACTCACTCCCTTCTAGCTTGACACCTTCCCTGTCTGTCTGTGTGCCTGTCTGTCTGCCTGTCCCTGGTGTTTGTGCAGGATAGATCATAGTACAACATGGTTTGGGATTCTAGGGCAAAGTCGTGCCATCCAGGACCTCCGTTTTTCTCTTCTGAAAGGCTTTGTCCAGTGTGGGCTGATCTGCAGTGCTGAAGCAGCTCCCGAGTGCTTCTCCCTATTACCAGGAGCTGAGAAACACTGGGGTAAGAGTGGAAGGTCAAGGCCAGGCTGCTTACACTTAAGCTCTGGCTTTTGGACCTTAGACAAGTTCCTGAGACCTCAGCTAGTTCATCTGTAGAATGGGGTTACTAAAGCTCTCACCTCCCAAGGCTGTTGTGAGAACATATTAATACACATTAAAGTGTATAGGAGTGACAGACACCCCACACAGGCTGGCTACTTGCTATTAATATGCTTATCATAGTCCCCTGTGCTCTCGGATCCTTTCCCACTCCAACCCTGAAGTGATCACCTGGCATGGCATCTCTCAGCATCTCCTCTAACCTGCTCTCTGCTTATACTTTCCAATCACTCGAAAATACAAAAAGCTAAACTCCAATATCCTGACCTACTTTTTAAAAAGTATCTGTCAAACAGCATCCGTTGTGACAGTGTCTCACAGGCAGAGCGCTTCGTAGTGCCCAGGACTTCTTGGTCTGCCTGCCCCTCTAGAGGTGAGGCTGCCCTGGTGCATGGCAACTGGATTTGCTTGTGCCTACCCGAGGCTGGGTCTTGGGTAATGCAGAGGAGAGGAAGGAGGATGCAGCAAGCCAGGGAGAAACGGACACACTGGGAGGCTAGGTAAAGGGCCAGGACCGCCTGAGGGAACAGAGAGTCAGTGAGCAGGGGTTAGAAACCAGAGATTTGAGCAAAAAGTAGAAATGATTCAGCCACTTTGGAGAGACAGCTGGATAAAAAGGATGCTACAGATGTTTGGTCGTGTGTGAATGCAGTCCTCCCCCTGCTGCCCTTTCAGGCGAGGGCCCTCTAGGGCTGCTCAGAAAACCACCAGGCTGCTGGGATC